TGACCGCTACACACACACACACACACACACACACACACACACACACACACACACACACACACACACACCGTGTGAAGCAGCTCCTGTTGCCTAGTTAGCATACAGAGCGACAGAGAATGCCTGATCTGACCTGAGCTCCTCTCTCCTTTCAGCCCATGTCCAATTACTGCCTGCTGGCGGAGAACTCCTACATCAAGATGGTGAGTGATGTGGAGATGCTGCTGAAAGAGGGACCTTACCACTGGGCTCGGGGAATTCTGTTTTTTACGCATGACACAATTTGGGTCACATAAACATTTAATCAGCTAGTTGAAATTGGGATATCCAAAGCTTTTCTGAGCTGTGTATGTTCAGATTGGGCAGTCCTTATCTACCTGATGTAATGATGTTTACAATATAGAGCAATAAGAAAAGGATTGCTTTGTTTGCCAGATAACACACACTTTTTATTTGTGTGTTGTTTTTACGTCTGATGTTTGCCCTTAATAGACGACATTGTCAATTGCTTATCTCTGCAATAGAAAAAATATGTAAAATGTTATTTCCAACCAAATGAGGAGGGGATTCCCTAAATGAATAGAACATGTTTTGCTCCTGCCCATAATCATCATCACATTTTTACATTTGCACTGAGCGGAGCTAATAAAACTATAATCCATCTGATACATTTTCTAAATTTCCCCTCTTTTCCAAAATTAGCCAGATAAAAACTTCCACAAACTCGTAATAATTTATAATTGAATCCTCTACTGATGACGTAACGAGTGAAATATACTTATACTTCTAATATAGCAGTATCATTCAAATAAAAAGCAAAGTATGCAGAACTTTGATTTTCTCTCCCTCTCTTTAAAGATGTTGGAGGATGCTGATCAGGTACTGGTTGAAGTTCTGTCAGTGGCAGAATCTAAATAACACTCCTTTCTAGATGTGTTTCTCTCTGTTCGTGTTGCTCTTCACAGCCTACCCTCCGGGGCACACTAAGTTCCTGTCTCTGAAAATGGTTCTTTCTCCGTGTGACTGGTTTTCTTGGAAACATCAATGTGTGGTGATGGCTTCGTGAATCAGATTTGCTGTGTTTACTGTGTGTTTCTTTGTAAATAATCATGGCTCAGTGAAATACATGAGAGTAACAAAGGCATCACTTCCGGCGACGCTCCGCCCACTTTTTGGGGAAAATAAAGCATGGCGGTCAATACAAATTCTGAAGTTTTTGCCAATCTGATCAGAAATATAAGAAAACCGTGGATTTTTGGATCTTCAAAGAGCCCGATTACGATGGCCAGACAGGCAAACGATTACATTAAAACATTGGAAATCGACGATCGGGCTCGATATATGGTTAAATCTAGCAGTAGGCGATCGATGTCCATATATGAGGGTAACATCTATGTCACTTTACGGCCCCGCCCACTTTTTGGGGAAACCAACGCCTTCGAAAATTACAGCCTCGCCTACTGATTTGAATTTAACCATATATCGAGCCCGATTGTCGATTTCCGAAAAATACCGCCATTCAAATGACGGCTTTCTTTTCCCCAAAAAATGGGCGAGGCCGTAATTTTCGCCCAGAAGTGACGTAGGTGTTACTCTCATCTATACATGGAGAGGGGCTTAGAGACAGCTGATCAGTCTTTCCCCATGCAAATAAATGTATTATGTGATAATAATAATAATAATAATAATAATAGAAAGGTTTCCTCCCACAAAGGTGAACGACATCCAGGGAAATCTGCAGGACGGCAGTCAGGTGGTGGTGTCGGTAATCTTTGAAAACAAGTGTGAGAGCTTCCTGAAATCCATGGAGTTCAACGTCCTGGACTCTCTGAACTCCAAGCTGCAGAGACCGGAGGGCTCGGGCGCACACGACGCCCTCTCCGTGCCCTTCCAACTCCCACCTGGTCAGTGAGCATCTGAAATAGGTCCAAGGACAAGAAGCTAGACCCTCCAGAAAAACGCGGGCAAAATTCCTTGATTATGCGATTAAACATGCAGGGTTTTTATGTGATTTTATGCGGTGAAATTGCGGGAAGTTGTGAAATATGCTAAATATGCGGGGGGAAAGAATAACAATTTTTTTAGATATTGGGCTGTCTTATTTATTCTCTCTCACACACAACCTGCCACTAACGTTAAACCCCTTTACTATTCAATTAAACACATTCAATGTTTATTTATTGTAAAAGCAATTGGGCTATTTTAATCTCACACACACACACACACACACTTCTCCGCCTCATTCCGTTTTCATTTACTCGTTCGTTATCTGACCAGCTTCAATCTTGTAGGCTACTCACTTCGTTTCTTGTAGCCCTCGAAAGGGTTTTGGAGGTTGATGCCTCGTGAACGTGAGTTGTTTGGCTTTCTTGTCCGCAGCAGCAG